AATCCTATAATAAAATTATCTTAAATGAATCATAACAAATGATAAACTAAAAATTATCATCTATATGCAGCTAGAATATAATAGCTTTAGAAGAAGAAGACTAGGTAAAATATTTCAACTAAGACAATTAGACAAATCCTTTATTCAACTGAATTAAAAATTGTGTTATAAGAAAAAAACCATTAATTTCACTAGCAAATATTGAGACACATCTTGAATAGTATTTAGAATATCAAAGCTGGACTAAAGTGAATTAATCGAAAGTCTTATAGAATGATGAATTTACATTCTCTTAATTTCAATAAAGTTACTCTAGTAAGGTTTGATGTAAACCGAAGAATGAATGGACCTTATCCTATATTATAGTTACAGTAAAATTTAGCCTTAGTCAAATGTAGTGGGTTGCTTTTTAAGAAAAAATATAAGGCTAATTGTTCTATTATCTGAAACAGTAACTGGTAATTCATATATTATCATTTTTTAAAACATATTATTCTAGCTATAAGAAAATCTTTTCTAAATTATGATGGCTAATTTCAAGAAGATAATGCTTAGCCTTATAAATCAAAAGTTACAATATCTTTTCAAGCGAAAAATAATCTTCGTATATTATCTTGGTCAGCTCAAAGTTTTGATCTTAATCTGATTGAAAATCTTTAGGCTGAAGTCAAGAAAACCATCTGAGCTTATAAAAAACCTCTATCTAATCTTACTGTTCTTAACCAATATGTTAAAAAGATATAAAAAGAAATTTTAAAGTATACTATTGAAAACCTAGTTTATAGTATGTTACAATAAATTTAAGTCATAATTGTGATAAATAGTGACCTAACTAAGTACTAGTTACTTAGTACAAAATTTAGATCTTAATCAATTTTAAATAAAATATTAATTGACTTTTCATTATTAATACAAAATATTTGAAGTTTTATATTAAGTGAAAAAGTGTGCAGATACTTTTGTCCATCCTCTATATATAAAAAATATGCTGATAAACTAAGAAAGAAAAACTTTTTATTTATTGATCAGATAATCACTTTAGATAGAATAGCCTTTTTATTTTACCAGACCTTAAATATTTATCAGCTGCTTTTATTCTTCCAACGCTATCAGTATAGTTTACTAAACTTCAAAATATACTATTGCACAATAACTCTAATAGAAATATTCTACAACAATTTCAATATTTACATGATAATATGATTTGAACTAGACTACTTATTCACAAAAAAGTACAATACATTTTATAATTGGTTAGCATCTTCCTTCTAACTCATCCATAGTTGACAAAATACTTAAAATTGAATCCAATATAGTTCACATTTAACATTTTCACTTCTAAGTAGAAGCTTCATAGAAAATAATTCTTATTGTATGCAATAACTGCTCTATTAATAATATTTCATTTATACCCTCTAATATGAGAAATAAACATGATTTATGTTTTGTTAAAATATCATTTCTCTTATGTTCATTTTTACACAGTTTGCCTACCTGCAATATTAGCTATCTTTATTCTCTTACATAATTTTTGAAATAGCTCTTTTTAATTACAAAGTATTTTTAGACCCAACATTTAATATAGAATCTTTTTCTTTCTCCAATACCATTATTTTTTTTAATATATTTACCTTAGATATTGCAAATCAACTAAATGACTTATTAATTTTATATTCATAATTAACTAATCTTTCATTTTACATTAACAGTTCTTTTTCTAATTTAAGTAACTTAGCATCTCGTATGAGTATTGCCTAATTATAAATTGATCCTTTAGAACCTCTTCATTCATTAATGCCTTATTATTTCTCTTTTAACCATCTTCTTCTTTAGTAGAATTAGTAGCAATCTTGGCTGCGATCTTTATCTCACTGATTAATGCTAATATTAACATTTTTACAGACTTACAAGTCACCATTTCCTCTTATTCAAAAATGATTTATTTTCTTACATATACCCTTACCTACAATCTTACATTTAAAATTTCCTATTATTTAATTTGATGTTTACTCTTCTACCTACTTAAAAACAGAAATATTATGATGACCTTTTACAAAGTTAAAGCATATGCTAATGATCACTATAACAATGAAGTTAATCGACTCATCAAAGAAATTAGTTCTGTTATAACTATAATATTATAGACATTAGGTTATAATTATCTTCTCAAATTTAACGATTAAATTATCCTAACATTACTAAAACAATTTGTCAAATTCTATTGACTTTCACAATCTTCAATCACTTTCACATTTTTATAAATATTTCTCATTAGACGTAGACTGAATTTGCACTGCTTTTATTCTTAATGACAATGAAAATGCCTTAGATATATTATATAAAGCCTCCTCTATCTACAAATTCAAAGTCAAACTCTTATTGAAGCTTCTCCTAACACTTAAGATACTTAAATGACATTATCTCAAATTGTATAATTCATCATGATCCTGTTCTAAATACCTGGTTAGCTTAGAAAGTTTTGATCATGTTTGACAATACCAGACCATTTTATACCAAATTAACGACATAATATTAGATACCATTGTTTTTTTCTTACAACATTTAACTGAGCTTAATCCTCACTTTGACATCTCAAATATTATTTTTATAAACATTTGAAATCTCAATTTGAGTCATTCCTCTTTTAACTTTATGAACTTAATCAAAAATATAGTACCATTTTTTCTTTACAAATGGTTATACCAAATAGTGAAAAATAAATCACTCATTCTTAGTTTACTTTTCTCAACTAAATATTTTACATATACCAAGATTAAGACCTTCTAGATTGATCTCTGTTTTACCTTTAATTGCTTTGAGATTGATCATAATATATCTCTTATTAAACGAAAAACTAATATAGTGTTCACTAACTTTTCTGATCTCACTCCTTATTCCTTTAGTATTCCGCCTTCATTTTACAAATCTTTTTACTTTAAGTCTAATTAGTCAAAATTTTGAATTAGTAATAATTAGGTCTCTACTAGATAATTGAGTCTATTTTAAATTAGTTTAGGATAGATTAGTCTAGAACAATGCAAAATTAATTTTAATTTAATCTTATTAAATAGAAATTTCTGTACTCTTTCATCTATAACTTATAATTTTATTTTACTTTTAATAAAGATTGTACATAATTACCGTACGTAAAAAAAACTTAAATATTTTGATATCTAATGATTATAAAAAGATAAAATAAAATTTTAAATTTTCATTTTATGATGTATCTAATAGTAGTATTTTTAAACTTTTGTAATTAATAATTATTCAATATATATTAAATTTTAAATTTTTTAATTTTAAAAATAATTTATTATCTAATAATTACAAAAATATAAAAATATAATAACTCTTTTCAGCGATTACTCAACCAAAAATTTTTATGTAAAAACGTGTATATTCAAAGATAACTATGGTTTAGCCTATAAACAAAATATAAAACTCCCTTTTCAAACTTTTTTCTCTTTTTATTCTCTCCAAATTCTCTTATTCTAAAATACAGTTTTTATTAATTAAAACAGTGGTGTTTTTTTTATTTTTTTCACTACTTTTCATAGCTGTTTTGTCCATTTTTTCCTTTTTTTTATTGCTCATAAAAGTGGACATTAAGGAGTATACTAAATAATGATCAGGATTGATAACAACTTTAGATCAACCAATCTAATATAATGATTTTTTCATTACCTTTCTAAATAAGTACACTCTTTTTAGATTTTTGACATCAAAGAGTTTGCTAATCTTAGCAGGATTTTTAGTTTTTGTAACTGTGTGATTTGAGCTCTATATAATGACTACCAACAGCTGTAAGCTGAATTGACAGACATATTAGCATAAAAGTTTGAGAGTATCAAAAAGCCTTTGATAGAACTTAGTGATATAGGCATTTCTATAATAGATAGTTACTGTAACTAGAAATTAACCAAGTAACTTAGCTAAGAACTTGTTGGAATCAAATTTTTTATTAGTTTCTTTTTTGGTTTAATAATAGTTCAAGTTACTTGTTTTTATATTGAATTTAAATTTAGGATAGGAATTATTGTTAAGTAAAAGAAGGCATAGTAATAATCTAGTTTTTATGTATTGATGGAAACTCTGTTAATGATTATTTTTAGAATATGGCAGGATAACCAGTTGGTCTGGGCTAGTAAGTTTTTAACTTGCAAAGATGTTTTAGGCAATTTAGTTTATTTTTTCTACTATATGTACCTAGTTTTCAGGATTTTTATGTATTTACCTACTGGATTTGAATTTTCATAATAAATATAAGCATTACTATGTCTTTAAAAAAAAATAATTACAAAAATATAAAATTTAGTTTATTGGATTCATCACATTATAATTTATTAAATGATAGTATTTTTATATTTTTGAGATTGATAGATAGCAAGATATATAAGTTTAAAATTTTAATTTTTTTTATAATAATTTATTATTTATTTATCTTTAAAAAATCACTAGTTAATTACATTATTTTTTTTTTTAATTTTTACTTATAAAAGTATTAATTTTTTAATAATATATTTTAAAATATTTAAAAATAATTAAAAATGATTGTAATTAATAAATAAAATTGCCTACAAATTTGAAGGTAAAACAGTTGAAAGGATAATAACTATTTCTTTAATTATTATGTAATAATCTAATAAAATTAGTGGTTTTATATGATTAAAATCTATACTATTATTTAGATAAAATATAAAAATAAGAAATAATGATATTAATAATATTAATATAATAATTATTAAATTAGACATTCAAAGAATAATTTATAGTTTATATTAATTTTGATAAATAATAGTTTTATATTATAATCCTAATCTGTTTTATTAATATCTATGTTAGGAAAGATTTCCAAAATATTTCTCCGCCTCAAAAACACGAAATCATTGATATAAATAGATACCAAAGAAAAAAAAAGAAAAAAAAAAAAAATTTTAATTCCTTTTTTTTCTCTTAATTCCCATTAAATACTTCGTCTTCTAAAGTTAGTTAAATAAAAAATGGAAGCAGGAGAAGATAATAATTTAGTTTTATTTGACCCACCATTATGGAGACAAAGACGAAGATTTGTCGTTGAAACTTTACAAAATAATGAAATTACTTCGGTATTGATAATATTAATTTCCTTTTTTTTTTTTAAAAAAAAAAAAAAAGAATTTACCAAACTTGTAAAATTTTACCATTAGGTATTTGATTTTGGATGTGGAGAGGGAGCACTTTTATCTTTTCTTATCCAACCTTCTGAAAAGGCACCAATTACGCAACTTGCTGGCGTTGATATAAGTCATGAAACGCTTAAAACAACCGTGATGGATTGTTCTCCTTGGAGATATGATCACGAATTCTTGAGGCTTACTCCATTAACTGTAGATATATATCAAGGTGCAACTTGAAACATGACTTTCTATTAATTCTCGTGAATCAATCCACTTAATTTTTCTTATTACTCAATTTATCAGGAAGCATCGATGTGGCAGATCAAAGATTACTTGGTTTTGATGCATTAATTTGTATGGAAGTGTAAGTTGCAACAATTTTTTTTTTTATTAATCTATACTTATATTTAATATATATAAATATATACTTTTTTTTATTTCATTAATCTTCTTTTTTTTTTTTCCTTTAAACAAGAATAGAACATGTTGATCCACCCGTGTTAAATAAATTCTTTGATATAGTATTTGGTACTTATAAACCTAAGATTGTAATAATTTCGACACCTAACGTAGAATTCAATGTCTACTTTCCACAATTAAAATATGGAACACCTGAAGCTACGTTAAGAATCGAAGATCATCGTTTTGAATGGACAAGGCGTGAATTTCAAGAATGGTAAGAAATTGTTTTATTACTTTCTTGTCAATTTTATCTAATTGATTTAATTTATTTAGATATCCTTTTCTTTATATAACAAAGGGCAAATTCTGGAGCAGAAAAATATAATTATTCTGTAGAATTTACAGGAGTTGGAACGATCAAAGATGGTGATCCAGCCATAGGAACCGCCACACAAATTGCAATTTTTCGAGATTTAAATCCATCATCAAAGCCATTGTTTGCGACATTTGGAGAGTATAATCTCGTCAAGACAATCGAATTTCCTTATTATAATGAGCCAGAAAAAAGTACCGAAGAAATCCTTTCAAGACTTCATTATTATTTACAATTTCTATGCAATAGAGTGTTAGATGGTTATACGAATGATGATGCTGATGATAAACGTACACGACGAGAGAAATTTGAATCAAATCGTATTAGAGTTGAAGAGATTTGGGATATTCATGAAATGAGACAACTTTGCCAAACTCAAAATAAATTACTTGATGTATTGAGATCAAGCCCAGACTTTACATTAATGAATAACAATGAAGAAATGATTGTACATAGGGAATATCCGTTAAATACCAAAGTTAATGATGATGAGGATGTGTGTGTTAAAACGCCTACCGAAACGGATGAATGGCAATTTTATAATTATGATGGATGGAATGATGATGATGATGACGGTGAGAATCATGAAGAACAGCCAAATTGGGATACAACACCCGTTGCGACAAATGAATGGCAAATTTCTAATAATGGATGGAATTGTGAAGACAGTGAAGAAGATAAAGGTTGGGGGTGATGATTATATCTCAAATAAATGGTCAAGTAAATTTTAGATACAAAATTAATTAAGTTTTATTCATTGTAATTTGCTTCAAAGTTAATGATTAAAAATTTTTAGTTGTGAAATACAAAACAATTTATTATTTCAAAAAATTGTTATTAATAATTATGTTCAAATAATGAAAAAAAGCAAATCCTTGAGCCCAAGCAATAACATCTCACTCTTTTTATGGTAAAAACAGATATCAAATAACTTAAAAAACAAGAGCAGCACCCTTGGTCTATATAAACGAACGAAATGATGCGTAATAAATTAGAATATTAAGCGTGGTAGTAATTAATAATTTTTTTTTAGCTACTTAATAAATAGAATTTTACGTACCTTTTTGTCACCACCGAGTTCGAAATGTTTGCATCGTTTGAGTGCGATTTGATGTTTATACTAATTATTACAATAAAAATAAATAAGTAATTTAATTTAGTAGGAGTATTAATTATCTTGAAATCATACCTTACAACTCTGACATTCTAAGCGAAGTACAATTTTTTTGGTAGTCTTAGCTATAAGTAATCGGGGAGAAAAAAAAAAATAATATCGGTTATTAAAAAATACAATTTACGAAAAAAACATGATTCTTGTTATAATTACCCTTTTTATGAAACACGGGTTTGGTTTGACCACCATAACCGGATTGTTTACGATCGTAACGTCTTTTACCTATTTCCAATATTATTAACGAATGTCATTAAATAAATACAATACATGCATACAAGATCAATTAATTGAAAATTTTAATCACCTTGAGCATACAAAGAATCTTTACCCTTCTTGTATTGAGATACTTTATGTAACGTATGCTTTCTACAATTTTTACCCTTACAATAAGTATTTCTGGTTTTCGGAACGTTGACCTATAATAAAAATTTTATAAATAATATTTTAGTTAAATGGAAAAAAAAATAATAACAAAGATGAAGTTTAGTCAAGATCATAATATAAAGACTCTTCGATTTGATCGAATTTGCAAATTGACTATTTTATCGAATTGATCATTGAAAACAAATCAATGGAATCTCCATTTATATTAATTTTCAAGACTTAACCCAAATAACCAAAATGTCACTTTAACCCAATAAAAATATTCCTTTAAAAAAATATCTCTCTCATTTATCCAAGAACAATCCAAATCAACTTTTAAAGATAAAAAAAAAAATAATAAATAACCAACCATTTTGTAATAATGACCACTTAACGACCAAACCAGGTTCGAAAAAAGAAAAAGAGGGAAGAAATCTCGATATAATTTTTTTTTTTGAATGAAATATTTAACCAATCAGAAGCTAATCATGTGAAACTCATGTGATGAAGCATATCTAATTGTGATTGATAAATTTTGTCACTCGTATTTTATTTCTTTGAAAATCATCGAGTATTCAACTCTTTCAAGTTTAATTAAAATATCAAATGATGAGAAAAATAACCCAATTAAAGGAAAAAGAATCAAGTGTTATTTATTTATAAATATATGATGGGACTTGTGTTTAATAAGATGATCAAAAGATATAATTAGAACATATTAGAAAATTTTTCGTTCGAAATGTATGTAATAATATATAATAAGATATAATATTATTATAATGAGTCATTATAAATCTACAAAAGGTCACGTCCTATAATAATAAACTACCTAATTGGTGACAAATTTTGTCAACTTTTTCGGTTCATTGAGAAAATGGTGAAACCGCAATTAACGAATTACGTTAACATTGTATTGTGAAAAATTGGCTGAAATGTACAAACAGATGTTAAATGGGATAAATAAATTAAACTTGTTATCGTGAAAGAAAATGGTAAATTTAAATGAAATTTTTTTTTTTTTTTATTAACCTTACGTTTTTAGGTTTGTAATTCTTTTGACTTCCTTTGCCAACTTACCAATTTTTTTTTATGGAATCTTTCTTGTCCCAAATCGAAGAATTTAACAGAACAGAATGAACGAATGTTCGATTCATGTAGAGAAAAATGTTCAAGGTAGCTCTATGCCAAATATAGTTCATCCACATCACGTGTATTAACATTACTACAACAAAAAAACCAAAAGTTAAAAAACACCAACTAAGCCTGATCATAATCGATTGTTGCTGATCGTTTAATTAAAAATTGTATAAATTAAAAGAGTTACTGGGGTAAAATTCGTGGTATTTAAAGTAGTTCAGGGGATTAAAAGATATAAATTCTTTGTTCACGGTGATACCAAGCTTTAAGATACAATAGGAAAATTCACATTGATAAAGTATATAAATACCCAGTAAGAATTTAAACAAACTCCACATTTTTTCGTTAACAAATTATTATTTCTATTTTTTTTCATATTTCCTAATTATTAGTTAGTGGTGTCGATATTTTTTTGTTGTAGTTCTTTTTTAAAAATAAAAAAATAAAATAAAAATAAAAGAATAACTGTACAGTAGAGATAAAATAATGACACACTCGAAGAAACCAAAAACTCAATCCTCGTCATCACGTGCTGCTACATCCAAAAGTTCCTCAAATAATTTACCTCTATGGTCATATTTGGAAAATCAAACAACACAAAATGATCAAAATCTAGGAGATTTCGGAGGGTTATGGCTGTTTCTACAGGGCGAAAAAGCGAAATGGTGTGATCCAAACATAACCTCCACGCCCATTGTAGATATTGGTCAATCAATAGAAGGTGAAGTAAAGCAACCTCCACGGCTACCCCATTCTTCTTCTTCTGAATATTCCTCCGAGGAAGAGATAGTAGTCACGGAGCAGAAAGCGCACAAGTCGGTGCAACAACCACCAAAGAAAAAAGTTGAAGGTATTGTAACAGTTAGCAAAGAGAAAGGGACGTCAAAGAAGAAAAAGGGCAAAAAAACCACGAATGCGAATGAATCAAAAACTGACGTGGCCGTTAAAACGGTAAGGTTTAGTTTACTGAGGCGTTAAAATATTACCATAAGGAGAGCATACTAACATTCACGATTATCACTAATAGCATGTTGATAACGTTAAAAAGGTCCATTTTAACGAATCCACTCGAGTAAACCTTTCATCCAGGTATAATAAAGAAAAAGATTCAGCTTTGGTTGTAAATAATTCAGAGAAATACGATGCAAAGATCCGTTTTAGGGTTCCGATTCCTATCAAGATATCGGATGACCCTATCCACGTTTTCATCGATAATTCCAACATCTTGGTTGGATTCTTGGCATACTATAAGCAGCAACAATATATAAAACGGACGCAAAATCCTAAAGCTTCTTCGGGTCAAAGACAAAAACCCGCATTAGAGTATGATGCTCTCTTCACAATTCTAGAACGTGGAAGGAATATCGCACGTAGAGTTTTAGTAGCTTCCTCACCATTGTATCAACCGCTTGAACAAGCAGCTCAAACTGGTTACGAAGTTTCTGTTTTAAAGCGTGTTAAAAGATCAAGTTTGGATGACCTTAGTGAAAATGATTATCAACAACCACCTCAACAATTCGAGATGGAAAAAGAACAATGTGTTGATGAGCTTCTCCATCTCAAGATCTTGGAATCTTTGTTGGATCATCATGCTCCAGCTACTTTGGTCCTCGCTAGTGGCGATGGAAAAGATGCGGAATATTTCCAAGGAGGTTTCCACAAATGTATAATCAAGGCTTTGGAACGCGGTTGGAAAGTTGAGGTTATCAGTTGGCAACGCCAATTGAGTCAAAACTTCTTGAACAAGAAGTTCTTGAGCAAATGGCAAGGCTTATACCACGTCGTCTTTTTGGATTGGTTTGCCAAAGAGTTGGGATGTGATATGTAGCGAATACCTCTTAAGTTACTAATATACTGATATAACAAGTGAATTTAAACTTGATGTGAATAATAAATTTATTGTACTTGATTTGTTATGTATTTTCTACAATTTTCAATTTACCACAATGTAGTAATATCTTACGGTTCAAAGTTATTATATATCAAAATATTCTTTTTTTTAAAAATAATGAACTATTTATTCTATTTTTCTTTTTCCTTTCCCTTTCCCTTTCCCTTTCCCTATCCCTTTCAGTTTCCCTTTTTTCCTTCCTATAATAGACATATATACTGTAAATCCATCTCTGCTTTTCTTTCAATCTTTACTGAATTTATTAATTTTCTATGTTACTTGCCTAATTTTGTAAAAATTTTTTTTTTATAGACACTTGGTACTTACTTACTCACAGAAAATCCACATACCAAACATTCTAAATACATTCTATTCATTTTTTCCTACTCCTTTTTCCATTTAAAAATAAAATTATAATACACCCATCCTTTACTTTATTCCTAATTTATTTTGTAAACCATTTTATTTTTCAATCAACTTACATCAATGTAGGTGTTGACACCACAAAAAATTGATGCTTTTATAATACTTTTCATTCCTAATTATTGCAAACTTCTACTTTTTTCTGTACATAACTTTTATCTTGCTTTTTCTATAAAAAAAAAAAAAAAAAGAAAAAAAAAATTTTTTAAACTTCCTTAATACATTCTTTTCCTTCGATCGCATTATTGTTTTTTTCCCTTGTACATAATTTATTATTTCTTATTATACAGTTTATGTTTTATTTTCTTATATAAGTTTTATTGTGAATTTTTTTCGGTTGGATAAGATAAGCAAAGAATTATTAATTAGGGGAAGAATTAAAATTATAATGAAAGATTACTATTATTTTTTATTATTTTTTTTTAGTTGATTTGTGGAATTTTTGTGAATTTTTAATCTTTAAAGAAATATGAATTTTCCCTTTGCTAGAAGAGAGGAGTGGATTTTTAGTATTCTTTTTTTTTTCCTTTCTATTTTTAAAGAAATTAATAGTGATTAGTTTTGTATATTTTCCTTTTTTTTATACTTTGATTTTTAACGGATTTGGGGTTATGGTGGTATATTTTTTATTGGTTGTTATTTTCCTGATCAGTTTTCCTTACATCTTGCCATTTTTTGTTCAAGTTCGAAATCGTGGAATAACATTCGTTATTTCATTTGTTTGCAATTATCTCGATCATTTATATAATTTTCTTTGAGCGTGGGTTAGAGAAACAAATTATTGATTTTTAAAGAAAGGAATTTTAGTACTCTCTTTTTTTGTTTAAGTTCTTTATTTTCTTTTCTTTTGAATTTATTTTGTTTTCCTCTAAGAAATAAAAAAAAAATCCTCGATTATCGTTTTGGTGGTTTGTTTAACTATTTTATTATCCCTGTTTATATTAACTATTTTAATATTTATATAAATTCATTATTTAATATCGTCACGAATTAAAATTGCTAAAAATTCATAATAAATCATAATCATCAAGCTAATAAATTAAAGAGTTGAATTAGTAAAGAAAAAGAAAAGAAAAATTCTTTCTCGCAAAAAGATTAAGAGTTACCTTGTCATTATATTTCATAATCTTTCGTTTAATCTTGGAAGTATCTACCCAAGTTACAAAATCTTCAAGATTTCTAAAAATATAATAGTAAAAATTAAAATATATTAAATTTTAATACAGTACAATGATGGAATTATTTTAAAAAGTATTGAAAAATTACCTCGTTACCAAATAGGCTGGATCAGTAATTGTTTCAGGACCAACACGTATATGACCTTGTTCAACAAATGTGACGGCCTCCTTAACGGTTTCGGCCATTTTTAATCGACACATTACAATAGGTAACCTTCGTCTATGGGAAAAAAGATTAACCTCCTTCATCATACTCAAAAACTTATTACCTACCAACTCGTACTTTAATGAAACTCACCTGCAAAAGGCTGAAACATTAATTTTATCAGTTTGACTAAATTGTTTTTTGCCGGTGATTAATCCCATCGAGTACAGTTTATCCAGTAACGCAATTTCTTGCTTATTTCTAAAGGGATCTCTTGGATCTAACAAAGATATACGATTAGCGAGTTTTTTTATTGAACCACATAATTTATTATATTTGTGATAATCCTCTCGTTTTTGTAAATGGTAACGACGAATGATTTTTATTTCTCTTATATTATTTTCATTTTTCCACTGATATTAAAAAAATGATTTAGTTATAAAAAAATTGTCGACAAATAAATGCAAGAATGAAATAATTCGGTTACCTGAAGAAAGTCAACCTTCTTGAGTAATTTTTGTTCATGGTATTTTAATTTTCGGACCATGTTGATATTTTTTTTTTTTTTTTTTTTTGTGATAAAAATTTTTTATACTACAATTTATATATCATATTACATGATTTTCCAATTGAACGGAATCAGTTTATAACTTATACTGTGTAACGCACCGATATATATATGCCATACATACTATTGGTCAAAATATACTGAATATACTTTTTTGAATATCTTTAGATTCTCTATTCGAATATTTGAACATACTGTTATACTGTTATTAAATTCGAAACGTTAAGTTATTCTTTCATTGTTCAATTTCGAGATAACCTGTAAAGTTTCAAAAATTAAGCGAAAACGAATTATTGGTGGTAAACTATTAAAAGTTCTCTATCCTGCTAAATGATTTATCCTTGGCTTATCTAAATGAGGAAACGTTTTTGACGTGTCTTCTGCCATCTCTGATAAGTTGAAATTGAAATTAAAGAAATTTGTTGATGCATTCAACCATTTCGGATATTGTCAGAAATATAGATTATGAAGAAAACGGTTTAGTTAAAAACTTGAAAATTGAAATATTTAAGCGTGAAAAGATCGTTTTTGAAAAAAAAAAAAAAAAAAAAAAAAAAAATGTCAACAGCAGGACAAGTATGTAATCATTTTTCTACCGTTATTAGGCCACGCACATTAACATTTTCTGTTTACGTCACCGGCCCGTGGTCACCTTTTAAATTTTAACCAAAAACAGCTTTTAATATGTAAAATTTTATCACGTACTTCGAAATATAACGAATATTTATGTTATATTCAATTAGTTCTCGTCATTTCTTGGTTTACTTGATTTTTTCTATTTCTTTTCTTTGTTTTCTCTTTTTACTTCCAACTGATACATTACAGTCTTCATAATATGGAAAATGCTCCGATTACTCCTTAAAAAACCAACCAATAACTTCGTATCAAATCTTTTTGTTAATAAACGGGTCAATTTTAAAATTTTAATGTTACGTGAACCGAAAATGCTAATTTGGCGTGGCCTTATAATAAAAAATACATATTTTTTAATTTAATTGTAATTATTTTTTCTTCTGATTAGGTTATTAAGTGTAAAGCGGCAGTAGCCTGGGGTCCGGCTCAACCATTAAGTAAGCACCTTTAAAAAAATTGCTAATTTTTTTTTCAGCATATTCCCATATAATTCGAAAATTTAATAATTTTTGTTCATTCCCTTTTATTATGATCGTAACTTGACCAATAGGCATTGAGGAAATAGAAGTTGCACCACCAAAGGTACGTCAAATGACTCATGGCGCAGCAAATCTGATCGATCACATTATTAATGTTAATAGAATTGTTTGGTAGAAAGGAGAAGTTCGTGTAAAGATATTGGCATCTGGAGTGTAAGCTTCCTTTTATATGATTGTAAAAAATTAAATAATTTAAATACCAAAATAAATTTATTGTCGTTTCAACGTGTTCTTATTAGATGTCACACAGACGCGATTACTTTATCTGGCAGAGGTAATGAAAAATGTTGTCTTTATGGTTTTAACTAATTAAAATCCACTTCCTAAATGTTTTTATTTTTTTTCACAGATTCTGCAAAATGGTGGCCAGTAATCCTTGGACATGAAGGAGGTGGTATCGTGGAATCAATTGGAGAAGGCGTTACATCCGTTCAACCAGGGGATCATGTGATTCCATTATATATTCCCGAATGTCGTGAATGCAAATTTTGTAAAAGCGGATTAACAAATACTTGTTCTTTGATTGGATCAACCCTGGTAATTTATTCAAGGGTTGTTTTTGTAATGGGGATAATTTTAATGGAGTTAATAAAAACATTACGTGATTTATTTTAGGGAAATGGATTATTGCTAGATAAAACTACTAGGTTTACTTGTAAAGGGCAGAAAGTATACCATTACATGGGTTGTTCTACATTCAGTCAATACACAGGTAATGCAAAGACACCTAAAAGAATATTTTATTATATAAAAACAAAAAAAAAAAAAATGATAAGGGCATTATTAATATTATTAAATTATTTTTAAAAGTCTTGTTTGAAGCATCGGTCGCGAAGATTAGTCCTAAAGCTTCACTTGATAAAGTTTGCTTGCTCGGTTGTAGTATTACCACAGGTTATGGAGCAGCTACAAAAGCGGCCAATATTCGACCTGGATCTACGGTAGCGGTATTTGGTTGCGGTGGAGTTGGTCTATCCGTAATACAAGGTGCCGTGGCTTGTAAAGCAAGGTGATGTTTAAAGAATTATTTCGTTTTTAACTTTGGGAAAGGTTGTTTATAAAAAACTTTACGTTTTTTAATAGTCGAATTTTTGCTGTTGATGTAAATCCGAAGAAATTCGAATACGGTAATGATTTTTTTCAAGTAATCATTTATAGTAGATCGGTATTTTTTTTTTTAATATGTCTCCCTTTCAATTTCAATTCAGCCAAGAAACTTGGGGCAACTGATTTCATAAATCCTGAAGATTATGATAAACCGATTCAACAGGTAAAATTGGTACACCTTTATGCATTTCCGCCACCAAAAAAAAATCCTTGATTAATATCTATTACGATAGGTTTTAGTTGAAATGACAGATGGAGGATTGGATTATACATTTGATTGTACAGGAAATACAAAAGTAATGAGAGCAGCACTTGAATCATGTCAACAAGGATGGGGTGAATCAATTATTATTGGAATCCCTGGTGCAAATGAAGAAATAAATACCAGTCCATTTCAACTTATACATGGCAGAGCATGGAAAGGAAGTTCATTTGGTGGTATTAAAGGAAGAAGTGAATTACCAAATTTAGTTGAAGATTATCTTGAAAAGAAATTGGAAATTGATATGTATATCTCTCATCAACACAAACTGGAAGACATCAATAAAGCTTTCGATGATATGCATTCTGGTGAAAGGTCGGTTATTAGATTAATATGGGTGTTACAACTTAAAGTTCCAATAATTTGTTATTAACATCTCTCTCTCTCTCTTTTTTTTTTTTGTAGTGTTCGTTCAGTTATTAACCTTGAATAATGAATGAATCCTTTTTTCTTCTTTTTTTTTGTAAATTTTCATATACAGTACTTTGGTAAACGTTAAAAACTGATGTGAACTTTGGCATATATCGATATTTTTCAATAAATTATAAATTTCATAAAATTGAAAGTAAAAATATCAATAGTTATCATTGTGAATTTAGTTTAAAAATAAAATCTGTTATCATAAGTTTCTTACGAAAAAAAAATAATAAAGTTTGGGCTTTCTCTTCTGGAAAATAAAGGATGTTTATATACTATTTAACCGACTGAAGAATTCGAATTTATGAAAAGACGGGGCATACACAAGTTAATAATATCACGAATCTGATATGAGAAACCTATTAAATTAATATATTCGAAACATTGCGTAGAATTCATGTATAAACGTTAAATATCCAAATTATCGGTTCCGTGAATTTAGCATTCGTGTTTGATTTATCAAATGACGGTTTTTATAGAGCTTAATTTCATAACCGATTTTGTACAAACAGTCCTATCGCCTTTCCTTTCATTGGAGTAATTAATAAGAACCAATCAAATAAAGCTTTGAACGGTTTGAATTAAATCTGAAAGATTTTTGGTTTGAATTCAATTTCACACTGATTAAACTCTAGTCGTCTTGTCATTTTTTGATTTTTTTTTAATGACTAACAGATTTTATTTTTAAACTAAATTCACAATGATAACTATTGATATTTTTACTTTCAATTTTATGAAATTTATAA